TCAAACGCGATTTCAATATGTCACATATTGACAGTGGCTCACCGATGCCAATGACATAATTACCCAGCTACATTTCCGAAAGAATGCAAAAGCATTGACATATATTTTTCCTTCCTACGATAGCCCGACGGGCAGGGCAGAGATAGATTCTGGTAGCCCGACTGGAAAAATCGCTAGCTCCGGGACGTCGGGCTAGCGATTTTACGAGCCCTGAAAAGGTACAAATTACAAGGGTACAAATCAGTACCCACAGTTTAGGGTACAGAACGGTACCTTAGAGGGTACCACCCCAATGACAAGCCATTGTACCCCTATAGGTACATTTCTGTACTTTAATTTCTGAGTGTGCATGGTAGTTTGCCATGAACTCTAAAACTGTAGATACACGAGTACTGGGAGTTGCCCCAGTTGTCATGAATCCGTAGTGTCACGTACTTCACCACACTGATGTTAGATTCCTGTGAGACAAGAAAGATAAATAACAGTTAGTTGAATAAAACCTCTGTGACTGTTAAAAAGGTGACAAGATGGTAAATCAGAGATATTATCACTGATACAAGAGGATATAGGGGATAATCTACAATTATTATTTTCTAAAAAGTTGGTGAAAAAAGTGGATGTGCATATGAACAATGGCACAGTGGACTCACAGCTATCTTAAATGTTTGAAGCGGCCCTCCCTTTGGGTCATATTGAAAGGTACCCAGATAAATGACTGGATCCTCAGCATGTTGGTTTCCCTGAGACACAAAGAGATGCATATCAAGTTTTTCTATAACATACTGTAATGTATGCAAAAGTTCAATTGTGTGGTACTGAGGAATCTGTGACTTACAAATACTGAAAACTTCCTGGGCGCACTTGACACGGTCAGATAAGGAGATATCATCTGTGGTATGTGCCCCAGTGACACGTGGCTGATGGTGATGTATTGGGCCAGTTCAATTGAAACCTGTCCCTGGCTACCACCAAACGCCCAGCACTGACCCGGAAGCATTGGTGCCCGACCCTAAAGAGGGGAACCAAAAGGAAAATAGAGTTGAGTAAAGGGCAAAGCGGTCGGACTATTATATCATGACATATTTGCTCTGTGGAATACATTTTTTTTACCTCAAGAAGAATTCTTGGGCTCATGCATGGTTGCTGGTTGGGACCAATCAACGTGAAACCAAAGATTCGTAGCACCGGTTTATCAGGGGGATAGCTTTCTGACGTCTTATCGTAAATTATTCTAGCTCCTATAGATAAAAAACAGTGAGAAAGAAATTCCAATACAACAACATTTTTTTGGGACCTAACTGACAGTTTGAGTTTCTGACTTACCGAGTGACTCCAGGGCAAAATTTGGCATCCTGTCTGCCACCGGAACTAGAAAGTCGATCTTCTCTTTCAGACTGGCCAGTTCACTTTGAAGCTCCTCGAGTTGTTTCCAAACCTGTTTGGAGCTTGTAGTGAATATCTATAATTGTAAAAAGAATTTGTTTATATTTAATGTAAACACCTTTACAATATTACTTTCTGTTCAGGATTGTTTTCCTTTTTTTGTTCTTCTAAACTGCATAAGTACGCCATACCTTTGTCATGATGACAGAGGGGATGCCAGTGAAAACTGACAGACTGAAGAGTAGACCTGGTGGATGAAGAGAAATCATGTGATAAGACGTTAATTCAAAAGAAAATCACATATTGCTACTGGAGAGGATGCAATGGTTTGTGGAAAGGGATCATTTACCAAAAGAGAAGAGCAGAAAGATGAGGAGAAATGTTTTTCTTTTTGTTGAGCCACATCCAGGCTCCACGTCACTTGTGCAAATGTTATGCTCCAAGTCATGTTCAAAGTGACATTCTTCGCCGTTTCGGAAATGAAATCGATGCCTTTTGAAAACTCTGAATGAAATAAAACCAAATGAGAACAAAAGTCTGCTTGAGAACTGCTGACTGTTTAGTGAAAGCATACATGACATGGGTGTATACACACGTTTGACAGCAAAAAAATATGCATACAAACACTTACCGATACAGTCTCTCCTTATAGGAGATGACTGGTTCGCCGGTGCTATTATAATAGCCATTAGACTGTAACCGACTGCTTCTTCTCAGCATAGCTGTGAAAGACAAATATGGGAAGATTTTTTTTAAAATACAAATATAAAACATATATTGTGCAACAAAATTTTACAGACCTTGTTGCCTTCTTTGGGAAATCATATTTTAAAGATTTGGTACTTACTTTCACCAAATAATCAGTAAATAAACTCAGATAAACGGGATTCGTTGCAGTTGCTGTCCTATCGAGACTTCTTGCTGCTAAATTAATCTTGCAGATTCGAATTTTTGACGTCATACGAAATGCTTTGCTCTTTCCCATCTTATGACGTACACGTATTCCAAGCGCATGCGCACAGAAGGTAAACAACTCCGCTAACTGTAGGTACAGTATCTGGGTTGGGTTGAAATGCTCTTCAAATGTTCCAGCTTTAATCTCTCTTATGTTGACATGATTCGACACTACTTACCATTAAGCTGCGTACACTCTGGAAGCTATTTGGTCCTCGCGCATCGCTATGCAGCTGCCAGCCGGTCCCATGTGGATGTCCGAGGCTCCGGTTGCCTAGGTGACCATTTGTTTACGAGCAGGACAGAAGAAAAAAGTTGGAATAAATTGCGATGAGCTGTGAAATCAATTTAGTTTCCTCTTTTTTCCATGTTTGTCGGTAATGCAGAACCCTTGTGAGGCAGATCTCTTTTGTTTGTGTTATACGTTACACATTTTTAAAGGCTCGTGGAGTCTGATAACAACTCCAACAACCAGAGTGCTCATACCTCTCGCATTACTCAACTGCAGCAATTCAGTGGTTTGCATATTGTCATGGGGTGTGTGAATGGGGCTCAGGCGAATGAGAATTCATATCAGCCACTAAGAAATGCTTGTTCTTTTATGCATATGTTCTCTGAGGGTTTTAGTTGCCATGTAAATGCAAATAGCAGGCTGGTATATTTGACATAATGTGCAATTATGAGCCACATTGGGATTTTACTCTCAGTCTCATCCACTTTTCTGTTTGCAGCGTATAATGTGCAGCAGACATGCTCATAAAATCCCACAGAGTTGGAGGACTTTAGACATAAAGTATGTTGTTCGTCTTTAGGAGAAGAAAAAAGATTAAGATTTTTCGGGATTAATGAGCTTTAATTACTTTATGAGATATATAATATTTTATATGGTTGAGTAAGCAACCTACATTGTCGGAAAGATAAATTGTTAGGTCTATATGATTGTAGTAAAGGAAAATAGCCGCTGGTAGTGCAATTGTACCTTTTTCTCTTTATTCACAAAGGCTGTCGATTTGGTTGGAATACTCAGATCTGTGGCTGCTGACATGCCTCAGTGTGAGTGCACTCTTAGCACTCCGTGTTTGTCAAGCACCAATTAATCATTTATATTTATTTTTTGCAACTTCCTTTTATTAAATCATACATTTCATAAGTCAGACATTCTCTGAGATTAGGGGCTCCAGTATGTTGCTCTGACCAACCAAACACAGCAAGGTCAGACTATGAACAAGCTCTGAGTGAGGCCTGTTATCAGAATCACCGTTCCGTTTCTGATTCACTGGTTAACTAAAACATATTTATTTTTCTTTATTTTTTTATTCAACATGCCAGTATTGAGCAATTGAGCATACCTAACTCTCATTAAACCCAAATATAAGTTATGCTAACTGGTACATATTCATGTTTAATATGTTTTGTTATATTTTGATTTGTTTTTAAAAAAAAAATATGATTCATGAAATGCTGAGCAGGTCACTTCAAGTATGTGTCATATTTGTGTGACACTGTTGAGCGAATGTGATTAAATAATAATGATATCTTGATTAAAGTATGATGTAAGCCCAGCCCAGTGTGCAGGGCTGTTATATGCCTAATGGGGAAGGTGGTGACATATTATTAATTGTTATGTTCCTATCAAGGTTTTAGCTGTTAATTTAATTATAATCTCAGCTGTGGGTTAATGTTTCTCTGGGAAAATCTGTAAGAGGTTGAAAATGGATATACACTTAAATAATGTTTTGTTTTGTTTTTGTGTACCACACAGGTCAGCTGTTGAGACGGAAACATTACATGCCTTATTACACTCGTGCCACATGATGGCAGCAAAAACTCACCAGTTGCACAGTGAGCAGCAAGTGCCTGCTGAACAAAGATAAAAACTCACTAACAGTGTCTATTTACATGAATCAACATTTCTTAGACAGGATTTTGATATGAAACAGTAGAGTTAAACATAAGTATTCCTAACAACACTATTGAAGGTTGGCTTGTGTTTAGTTTATACAACAAGTGAAACTATTTCTAAATAGAGACATTATAAAGTTTAACAAGAATTAAATTTTTGAAAAATACATTTCTTTTGCTCCTTTTAGAAAAATCTATTTCCAGTGGATACACCAGGTGTTTGTGTGTATAAATGCCTTCTGTGGGCTGTATCAGCGTTGTTTGCATGTTTCTTTTGTTATTTTCTCACTATATGCTGCAACTTCTCAGTGGTTACCCAGCATGGCCCCTGCAGCGTTGCTGGCTGCGCCTTATACTGCCTCCTCCTGGTCCCGGCGCAGTACTGCAAGAGAAGGAGAATTATAAAATACTCCCCAGCTTTACCAGCCCAGCTTCTTCTGGTATTGCCCTCCACCCGAACCCTCCAGCTTCAACTCTCACCATGCTGTTGAGCCACAGCCACATCCCACAGCCGCGGGTGATTTTCACATTTTACTTTTAATTAAAATCACAGATGTTTTAAAATTACTTTTCAAACTCTTGTCAAATGTCCTTGCTCTACTGGATGTCATGAGTACAATGGATTTCCTTACTGCTCTAAAGATCTGCCTCAGAGACTGGAAACCAAATGACTAAACTGAGTACAGTGTGCCTGTGTCAGGGTGTTTTAAAGGGTGAAATGGGTCATGCTTGAATTTTCGGCGTGATTTTAAAGGACAGGATGCCTCTGAAAAATAATTCTTCTAGTAAAGTCAGAATTGCACTGTAGATGCAAGGATAAGTGGCATGTAATATCTGCAATATGCACAGTATTCCATTGTCTTTTAGGTGCAATGCAATGCAAACCCTGGTGCCAACATTTCTGTGGTTTGAGTTTTAGTTAAAAAGAAAAAAAAAAGTTCTCCTTAGGTTTTGAAGATGTCTTGATTTTCAGGACTTTCCAGCACATTATAGGTGAAAATGTAATAGCACAAAGAAACACAGACAGAGAGGGAGAAATCAGATTTGAACGCAGCACTGCAGGGCATGTGTTGACAACTCCTTCAGTTATCTCAAGAACATCAGTAGTGATGGTTGTGTTGCCTTTAGGGCTCAGGCTAGTACTTGTAACACTAGCACCCTGACAGGCCAACATAGTTTTCTCACCTCCGTCTCGGTTTGATTGACAGTAGAGGAGTCCTGTCAGTTCGATGGGTTGAAAATGATTTCTTCAGTTTCCAACATGTTACCCTTAGAGCTGCAGGGGCTCTCTTAGTTCCACCTTTTTATTTTTGTTTTTAACACCTTCCTTGATACAAAGGGTGAGAGAAGAAAAATGGATGTTATACCTCTGACTGGCTCAAATGGGGTCGGACAATGAGGCTTTGTGGCTTTAGATGGCTGCTGCAGTTCAGTAACATGCTTTGATATGAGGGATAATGTCTTTGAAAGAAAAGAAGAAAGGAAAAGAGATGAAAGAGTCACGTTTAATGTCTCCAGCAGTTTGGGGCTGTCTGATGCAGCCCTGCACTTTCTTGTGTTCAGGTTCAGTTTAGTCTTGCTCACAAATGAAGCCGTTACCACAGATTGCAGATGTCACGAATGCAGCAAGTTAGAGCATTAAACATAATAATTATACTGAGAAGGATGAAAGGCCTATGGGCAGGTCCATTATATTATTATTTTCAGTGTATAATTAATGAGTTCTTTAAATGCTTTTATTTAAAAGGTGAATGGGAAGACAAAAGGAAGAAAATGTAAAAAGAAAATCTATATTGGGATTTACTTCCATTTTTAAACTGCACAATGTATTGAAATCTGAAAAGCTGTGGACAGGACTTTAAAGGGGATGTCATTAAATGTGTATAATAACTAAGTCCACTCTTACTGCTTCCAAAGGAATAAAGAGAGTCAGTAAGCAGCTAGATCCTGCTAATCGAATGCACTTGATTAACCGATCGTCATAATTTGTTTTCATTTTTATTTTTATATATGTATCATGTAACAATGCCAAAGCTGAGAGAAAAGAGAAGAAAAAAAGGAGAAAAAATAGGTGAATAGGTAAGAATAAAAGGTCAAAGCACAAATAAAGTGGAACGGGTCATCAACTGCTGCATCTGCAACAAAACTCTAAAGACAAACAGCACCTGAAAGTGGAAAAAAAAAGATACACAAACGTGTGTGTGTGTGTGTAGGTGAGCGTGAGACAAACAATGAGGGTGGGAAACTGCAATAACGGCCCCTGGGGCCCAAAGGCTGACAGAGCAAAGTCCAGGAGGCCCGGCCAGTTCACGGACCCCCAAAAGAGCTGAAGACCTGAGGACACATGTCCTGATCTACCACGGTCTACCATCGCATGCCTAGAGCCCCAAAAGACCAGAAGCAACAGGCAGCCGACTCTGCCAGAGGCCGGGTGTCGGAGTACGAGCCGAGGGCAGGGCGCCAACGTTCTTTTTCACCACTGGGGTGTAGCTGTAGGATGGGAATAACAGTGCGCTGGTTGGTTCAGCACTATGGGCGAGACTTTAATGTATTGCATTAGATGAAGGGCTAAAATAATGTTCAACAATTAATGGTCGCAAGCAGAAGTCTGTGATTGAATTCAGACTACTTTTAAATGTCCTGATAAAGATAAACTGTATTTCCTTAACCTTTCATCTGTTTTCTCATCTTCCCTCATTTACCTTCCTGATTATCCACTGCCTTGGTATCATAATATCCTCGACATGATAAATATTGATAAAGTAGCATGCATGATCGTTTAGCTTTTAAATCCAACAACAACAACGAGAACAGCAGAGCTGCTAGCATGGCTGCAGAGCCATTGAATAGTAACAGCTCAATTTCTCAATGTGTATTTGAAGAATTTTATATGTAATAAATTTTATTCACATTTTGTGACATTTATTAGTTTTTCAGAAATGCACAAACTTGTGAGGAGTAGATAAACTGCGGCCTTATGAACGTTCACTTACAAGCATGTAGCGACAGGCTCAATCTTCAAGCTAATTGCTGTCAGTTTTAAATGCTGTTTATGCAAATTCGAAAAAAAACCCCAACAACTCCTGACAAGACTAGGTCAGCATTAAACATGCTGCTATGCATACTGAAATCTATCTGCATCTACATTTTCACTCGCTTCTCACTATGTCACAGCATTTATATGTGCTTTTCGTTGTGCTTGCACAGCACACCAGGGCATCTGCTATGATCTAGACTCTTTATGGTACAGGAGGAGAACAAACGGGCACGGTCAGCTGTGCTTAAATGATGCCTTTTGGGTCTGTTTAGAAATGCCGAAACTGCACCGAAGTCACACAAACACATTTGTACAGGATTTAAA